GCTTGGTCACAGGGATAGGAACGACGAACTCTTTGCTAAAAGTGACAATCTGGGCTTACCTTCAAGTTCTGCAGCTTCTCGAGCTTCACGTTCCAGACGCTGCCTAAGTAGCTCCTGCTGCTTTTCCAGATACTGTTTTATGAAACTGTTCTGGCTCATTTCCTCACCAATCTGTGTAGAGGAAATGAAAAAAGAGGGTCTAGGAAAACAAACCAGGAAAATGCAAAGGAGAAAATTCCATGGAGCCAAGGTCTACTCCTTATACTTGGAACCAAGAAAGGTAACTAAAATGTTGAAGGGCTCTTTTCTAAGTTAGGTCTACACTGAGGAACAGAATAGACTTGAGTCACAAAAAAAAAGGGCAAAAAGAACTGCACATAATTTTTTGTTTCAAATATTCAGTTCCCAAGTAGTGACACTGGTATACAAATAACTTAAAAAAATTTATTTTTTTTGAGATGTTATCTCACTCTGTTGCCCAGGCTGTAGTACAGTGGCATGATCTCAGCTTACTGCAACCTCCACCTCACGAGTGGCTGGGATTACAGGTGTGTGCCACCACATGTACAAGGTTTCACCATGTTGGACCAGGCTGGTCTCAAACTCCTGACCTCAAGTGATCCACCCGCCTCGGCCTCCCAAAGTGCTGGGGTTATAGGCGTGAGCCACTGAGCCCAGCCATAAATAGCCTTAAAAAAAAATTAAAATTCCAGTAATTATACTTTTTAGGCTAAATTCCTAGATAACATGGCATATTATCTAAAGGTAATCTAAAATTTCCTTTTGGTAGTATCAAGACTGAAGCATGGTGGCTCACATCTGTAATCCCAGTACTTTGGGAGGCTGAAGTGGGAAGACTGCTTTGAGCTCAGGAGTTCGAGACCAGCCTCAGCAACGTGGCAAAACTCGTCTCTACAAAAAATACAAAAAGCTGGGCATATGGTGGTGTGAGTTTGTCATCCTGGCTACTCAGGAGGTGGTGGTTGTAGTGAGCTGAGATTGTGCCACTGCACTTCAGCCTGGGTTAAAGACAAGACTCCATCTCAAGGGGGAGAAAAAAAAAAAAAAGCCAGTTCCTCCAAAAGATCAATCATTACCTATCCAGAAAACTTTTTTTTTTTTTTTTGAGACAGAGTATCACTTTGTCATGCAGGCTGGAGTGCAATGGCGTGATCTCAACTCACTGCAACCACTGCCTTCCGGGTTCAAGCCATTCTCCTGCCTCAGGCTCCCATGTAGCTGGGATTACAGACGTGTGCCACCACACCTGGGTAGCTTTGTATTTTTAGTAGAGATAGGGTTTCGCCATGTTGGCCAGGCTGGTCTCAAACTCCTGACCACAGGTGATCTGCCCACCTTAACCTCCCAAAGTGCTAGGATTACAGGGATGAACTACCACGCCTGGCCTCCTATCCAGGAAACATTTTATCAAACATCTTCAATTCAAGTATAGTATTTAAAAGCATGAAATCAAGAGACTAAAAAAAGGGTTATCCATTCAGCATTTAGACAAAGTTATAACTCCATTTTCTCTGGGTGAAAGAAAATCCCTGATAACAGAGGCCTATGCCTTTTCCTACTTTTTTTTTTTCTGTAATACAGATTCCCATGTTGCTCTTCTGACCTCCAGCCTTCCCTTCACAAGTTCTCCTCCCTAAAACCCTCTTACTTAGCAAGTCCTATTAGAAGTCCCTAAAAAGCAAAAAAAAAAAAAAAAAAAAAAAAAAAAAAAAAAAAAACCTGAATACTTTCTATGTTATTAGTCATGTTTCCTAAACATAGTTAATGTTTATTTTCACCTAAAGTAGCAATGAGTCTCTTGGTACTCAATGGACATTGCTGAAAGGTGGGGTGCATGTATTACAGAATAGGCATGTTTGCTGCAAAACCCTTATCTTAATAAAAGGAAAGCCTCAAAGACTAAAATGCAATGGGTAAAAGGAATACAATTAAGCTGATTAACTTATGCAGTTTCTTATGCTTGTTAAAGTACTTAACTGAACCTCTGAAAGCTGGCTAGATTATGATACTTACAGCTTAATGAGGTGATAACAAGGGAGTAGGAAGGCTCTCTTGTTCTCCACAGTATCCCGGGACTTCATCTAGTACTGAGGCTGCACACCATTGCTTTAACAAAGATCTGGATATTTCCTTTAAGTATATACACATTATGAGGGGATTTTTAAAAGCTTAAAGAAACCTTAAGAGACTGTGCAGCCTAAGAATTTTTGGTTTTTAACTGTGAAATAATTTATTTAAAAGAAATCTTATGCAGAAACTCAAAATTTAAACCAGATAAAAGTATATCTAAGAGAAGACTATGAGCCTCGCTTACTTGGGAAGAAGGTATTTCCTGTAGGAAGCCCCCCCAAAGCAGCTCCACAAAGCCCCAACAGAGCAGTTATAAACCCATGGGCTTAGTCTGACTTTTTCTCGTATTACAGATGAGGAAATGGAGAAAACCAAGGCCTCCAAAGGTTAAGCTTCTTATCCTAAGTAAAGGAGTTATTAGTAATGTTTATCAGTAAGTGCATCGAGTTAGTAGTTAACACTAGTAACGGTGGGTGACTTACAAAGGATTAAACCCCTGGAAAATCTATGTCAACCAGAGTTCTTAATCAGCAGGTATTTCCCTACACCGCCCTATTGGTGGTCTACTTCATATCTGTATTCAAAGGTATCAACTACCTTTTCCAAATTTATGGCAGATAAATTACTTCAGATCTCTGTACTACACTTAATTAATGGAAGCCACACCCTTCTGCACATTACCATTTCAATTATTATAAATTAACTAATAGCTCCTCTGATTCTGTTCTTTAAGCTCTTGTATATAACTGGGTTGATTAGAATTCAACTGTCCTGGTTTGAGACATTTCTGACCAAGGGAGCTTAGGAAAATAGTGGTGAGGAGTTAAGCATTAAATACGCAACACCATGTTCTTCCATGTGTCTGTATATCCAAAGAGCCCACTCCATTGAATGAACCTTCTTTCTCACCTGGGAATTTGGCTGGAATGCAGCATGGGGTGTTGAGTGTTTCTGTAAATTTTCTAGCATTAGAGCCTGGTATAGAGAAGGGTAAAAGTCAGAAATGAGGAGGAAAAATAAGAAAAACAAACCCCCACCCCTACCACAATCTCTTAATTAAATGCAATGGCTTAAATTCACACAAACTGTATTCCTTTTCCAGGGACCTGAAATCCCTTTACTATCACTGCTCCCATTCATCTCCAGAAGACCCTTAAAGGTAGCCATGGTTACTGCGACTAAATAAGCAGATATAAAACGCAGGCACACAGAATCAGGGACCTGGCTATGTCATAAAATCAGTAACAGAACCAGTATTACAATCCCTATTATCTTCTGCACTTTTGCCAAGTGCCCCTTCTAAATCTGACCATGCAGGTAAAATTACCTGAAATAGTCAAACCAGTTTTAAATATACAGAACCAACCAGCAGCCATGGGGCTCCTGGTTTTTGCCTGACGATATTATTTGGTCAAAGAGTTATCCAGGACTAGAGGCAACTCGTATAATTTCCAGCAGAGTGGCACCTAGATTTATCAAATTTATAAAATTTCCAAAGAGGAGGCTACAGAAAAAAATGACCACAGACCCCGTAAACTGTGATCTAACCCAATCTATACATAAATATACACACACCCCCATCTCTACTAGCTTCTAGTATAAGCAACCGTCTGCCAACCCAATCCTTGAGCCAACCCAGCCCTCATCTGCACTACCTGCCACGTATCCTATTGAACTCTAATTAAAACCAAAACATCCTCATCTTACCTTCTTTGAAACCAAATCTAAACAAACGAATCGATCTACACCTACCTCATGACAATCCCACCTTAATCTCAAACCGATTCAAAATCCCCAATACACATATCAACCCGCCTCACCTCTCTCACCAATATTCACCAAACTCTTAACCACCCAAATTGCCACTGGATGCCCTATAAATTAGACACCTCTCATCAAGTCCCTTCAAATAAAGGTCTCTCTTCATCTCACCTCCTCATCTAATCGAGCAGACATTTTAACCTACCCCAATCGTATTCCTGCGGATACCGATACCAACCCCATCCACCCCTCCGCGCAACTGTGCCCCTAACTCCGACCCAGCCCAACTCGCCCCCCCTCAGGCCAGCAACGCCGGAGGTTGTAGTGGGATTTAACTCCTTCTGCAGCGCATGCGCCGAAACCACAGACACAAACAAGGAGGGGGTGGGGGAAGAAGGAAGGAGCTTAAGACACTCCTGGAGAGTAGTGCACACCCTCCCATTTTGGGTTCGCGCTGCTGCCGTTAAGGCGGGAACCGGCGCGATCTCCATTCCAGCGCAAACCTCACCAACCACCGTGCGCGCGGATCCAGAGGCTCGCGCTGGCGGCCTGAGCGAGCTCGCGCCGAGCCCGGATACTGCGCCTGCGCCGCGGCAGAGACTCGTCTCTACCGGGTCCGCTCTCCTCCGACACCCCAGCAACGCCAACTCCTTACCCCTTTGAGCCGCTTGACCAGGGCACTCTTCTGCCCGCTCTTGGCTAGGCCTCGCTGCTCCAGTGCGGCCTTCAGGTCGGTCACCCGCAGCGCCTGAAGAGGCTTCCCGTCCAGAGTCACCTCCTCCAGCTCCGCCATCTTGCGTGAGGTACTCGGGTCCGTCCCGACGGCTTCGGGCATCTTCGGTAATTTCCGCCAACGCCCTTCGAACGTACCGAGGTGACCCCGCCCACTGCCGTACTCTACCCCTCGATTACCGCTCAGAACTCCCCGGATTCCTCCGGATGTGCTCGGATTTTTCCGTCTCCACATCGGCACCAATCAATTCTTTCCATCCGCCCTGCAGCTCCCTTTTTCTCGCCCTGCTTTTAGGCTCGGTTTTCTTCGTCTTGCCGAAGGTTTGAATCGAGTATATTCGGAAGCCCTCGACTCGGGCATAACCATAATCGGAGATATTCGTCTATCTCCGGACCTAGAGATGAGGCGCTGGGGCACTTGGGTGTTTGGGGCGGGTCCGAGGCCGGAAATGCGTGGGCTGCCGGGCTGGCCCAGCTTAGGGTTTTCAGGAAATTTGGAAGTTGTGGCGGTAGTTGGATTGTAAGGACTCTTGTGACAATCTTTGGGTGCCCTCCGAGAGAAAAGCGGAGGTAAGCGGGGTAGAAGTATCTCTATGGGGCGGATCAGACTTGGTGTTTGCGGATTACCCTAACAGGGCAAGCCTACTACTCCTTTACGCAAACAGCTTCTGCCCTCTGTCCTGTGAATCCCTGCCACTCCCATCTTAGGCTTTTTTGGGGGTGGGAGGACAGGAATCGGAATTACCAGCTCCGTGGCCTGCAAAGTGGGCAAGAAGCAGCGCCGTTTCTTCGGACCCAGACTGTGAACTGATTTATGACGCTGAACTTCAGTTTGAGTTTGCCTCGGAAGCCATGTTGCAAGATCCTGGAGAAGTTCTCCCACTCTCTGAAGAAGAGAATAAGTTCCTTTGGAGGAACTGCTTCCTGTAGGGCAAGAACTGGAAAATGCAAGCACCCTGAACTTTTTTGGTACTTGAACTAATTTTAATTGTTAATTTTTTTGTCTTTTTTTTTTTTTTGGTCACTCTACTCTGGGTCACTCCACTCTGACCCAGGCTGGAGTGCATGGCGTGGTCACGGCTCGCTGCAGCCTCAACTTCCTTGGTTCAGGTGATCCTCCCACCTCAGCCTCCGGAGCAGCTAGAACTACAGGTGCTAGCTGTAAAATTAGGACTACGCCTAATTTTATTATTTTTTGTAGAGGTGAGGTTTTGTCGTGTTGCAGAGGCTGGTCTCGAACTCTTGGGGCAAGCGATCCTCTCACCTCGGCCTCCCAAAGTGCTGGGATTACTTTGGGAGTACATGAGCCACCTCATCTGGCCCATACTAAATATTAAAGGCAATTGCTCAAATACCTGGATCGTCATAAAATAGTGTAACACTTGTTAGATCTCTAAGCCAACAAACCAACTGGACTGTTACTTTAAGTCTTGAATAAACACCGGGCTTCTGGTTCTTTTACTGCATTACCTAACTTTGAGCAAGGCCCTTATTCTGTTCTTTAATTTTTCCTGGTGCTTTACAGGAAATGTGAGGAGGTAACGGATGTTATGAAGTTCTTGGCATATTTCAGAGGCTTATATGCATGTTGAAGGCTTTTTTATAATAAATAATGTTTTTTCGTTTTCCTTCCACTGTTGATAGCTACAAAACAATTAGCTTCAGCCTTGACCAGCTGCAGGTATTAGATTTAAGAATGTGTGCTTTTTCATTTTGGAGAAGATGTGATGGACAAACATTAATCATTGTTTTTTTTATTTACCCAACCTGGCATATTGGAGTAAGAGGGAGAGAATGAACGCAGAATATAATTGGTTAATTTTAGGTTCTTTATAGGAAAGATGGAGGGAGACAGTAGTTAGGGAAGAATGGGTTTGGAAAAGAAAAAAGCAGGCAAATATGAAATGAAATTATTTTTGGTGATTTCTCTAAAGTAGTTGCATAGTAATCGAAATAAAAGACTCTTTGTTTTGGGTCCTTGAATTGGTAAATAGTAATTTCTCTGTAGATGCTAATTGAGCGTGGTAAGATTTCTTGTTGCTTGAAAGTTGTATTTTCATTGCTCTATCTGGAGCGTATATAATAGTGCTTTTATGTTTCAGGATGCCACTGGAGTCATCTTCCTCTTCAATGCCACTATCCTGCCGGTCTCTCTTACCCTCAATACCACACAACACTAACCCTTCCCCTCCTCCAATGTCTTACATCACCTCCCAAGAGATGAAGTGTGTTCTTCACTGGTTTGCCAATTGGTCAGGTCCCCAGCGTGAACGTTTCCTAGAGGACCTAGTAGCTAAGGCAGTGCCAGGAAAATTACAGCCACTGCTGAATAGTCTGGAGCAGCTTAGTGTGTCTGGGGCAAACCGACCACCTTCTATCTTTGAGTGCCAGCTATATCTTTGGGATCAGTGGTTTCGAGGCTGGGCTGAGCAGGAGCGCAATGAATTTGTCAGACAGCTGGAGTTCAGTGAGCCAGACTTTGTGGCAAAATTTTACCAAGCAGTGGCTGCTACAGCTGGTAAGGACTGATAGGCATTCAGACCAAAGAAGATAACCATAGCTGAGCCAAGACTCTATGTATATGTTACAAGGCCATGACTCTGCAATGAGAACTCAATTCAAATGTGTCACCTAAAGGACTGGAACTGGTATTCCGACCAACTGACTGAACTCATTGACCAGTACAGGCATAGTTATTTCAACACTAATAGCATGTCAATGGGACTCCTACTTGTAAATGTTATCAATCTAAGCAATCCAGCTCATCGGTCTACTAGTTTGCTTCTTTTCAAGAGATGTCAAATCTTCAAGAATTTGATGGCTTCTTCTGCAACTATAACCAAAAGGAACCTACACATTATAACTCAAGCCCACTGCTTGCTTATGAAGTGTGTAAAATAGAACCCTCCTTCCCCAGAAATAAGACAGGACAATAAAAGGTGGTACTTTTATACTTTAACTGGATTCCATTGTCTGGTTTTACTGCTCTTACCAGATTCTAGTGTAATTCTGTGATATCCAAAGCATTAGCTTTCCCAGTGATGATTTAATAAAATTATGAAAAATCAGGAGAGGGAGATAATTAGTTACTTCCTCCTCCACACTGTTTGAATCCAAATAGCAGTAACTATTTTTTTGGGAGCTGCGTTGTCACTCAAGTTTGGAGTGCAGTGGCGTGATCATCAGTGAGTGTGAGATCACTGTAACCTCAAACTAGGGTCAAGTAATCTTCCTGCCACAGTCTCCTGAGTAGCTAGGACTGTAGGCACGCACCACCATACCTGGCTAATTTTTAAATTATTTTGTAGAGATGAGGGTCTTGCTATGTTGCCTAGTCTGGTCTTGAATTGCTGGCCTCAAGCAATCCATTCTCACCTTGGCCTCCCAAAGTGCTGGGGTTACAGGCGTGAACCATCATACCTGACTTTTTCTAAAGCATGTGTATGTGATACTCTTGGAACTAGTAGCAGGCCTATTCTGTAAGTTTGCTTTACAGCAGTATGAAAATAAGTGACACTACAGGTTGAACAGTTTATTTTTGTACCAAAATAAAGAATGGATCTTTAGAACCTTAAAAAAATGGATCTTTAGAACTGTATAAAATTGATATCAGGGAAAGAGGCATTCCAAAGAAAGTAGAACTTAAGTATACACAATAGATTTTCCATTCAGTTGCCTTCCAAGAAATGATTCTCTTCCTTACCCCCATCATGTTCTGGGCAACATCACACCTCCCTTATTCCTCTAACTGGGACCCTTGTGCCGTGGAACTCTGGTGAATGGTAAGAGGCAGATGGCCTCACAGGAAGAGTGGATGTTTTCTGGTAGGCTATGGTTCCCAGTACACCCACCAGGATTAGCAGCATTAGGCAGAGTCCCATGGACAGCCTTAGGTGGGTCATGGGGAGGTTATGGTCTGAAGTAACCAGCAACCTAGGAACATAAAGGTAATATGTGGCCTGGAATAATGCCTTTTTTTTTTTTTTTTTTTTTTTTTTTTTTGAGACAAGGTCTTGGTCTGTTGCCCAGGCTGGAGTGCAGTGATGTAACCTTGGCTCACTACAACCTCAGCCTCCTGAGTAACTGGGACTACCGGTGCGTGTCACACCACTATGGCTGGCTAAGGGGCTTTACCCTTATAAATAGAACTCATGAAACCCTGTCTCATCCAAGCGTTAAGCTAAACAGGAAATCATTAAGAGGGACTATAGAACCTGAAAGTAGGGATAAGATCACGATCTAAGTCCTCTGGCATCTTAAATTATTGGAAAAAGACCTAACTTGGCAGCGAGGGAAGTAGCTTAAGGGAAGAGTCAGTCTGTGGTCTTTAGGTAGCTAGACACAATCCCTGAACAGTGCTTAAGAAAGGAAGGGAGCTGGGAGCAGTGGCAGTGGCTCACACCTGAAATCCCAGCACTTTGGGAGGCAGAGGCAGGTAGATTGCTTTAGCTCAGGGGTCCGAGGCAAGCCTGGGCAACATGGCAAAACCTTGTCTCTACAAAAAAAAATACAAAAATTAGCTGGGCATGGTGGTGTGCACCTGTAGTACCAGCTACTCAGGAGGCTGATGTGGGGGAATCACTTGAGCCTAGGGAGGTCAAGGCCACAGTGAGCTGAGATCACCCCACTGCATTCCAGCCTGGGTGACAGAGCAAGACCCTATCTCAAAAAAAAGGGGGACACTAAGATCCCTATGTCCTAGAGATGGGAGAATGTGTTGTACGGGAGGCAGGAGTCAGGTAGTGATCACGTTAGTTAGGGATCTTTGTTCTCTAAAACACATAACTCTGTCTAGGACAATATACGTGAGCAAGTGCTTAATTAATTTCAAACATCTGGACTCCATGGATTTGAAAGAAAAATATTTGGAATATTATCTTACTTGCTGGGTTCTGTGGTGAAGTTGGCTCCGCCATAATACACTTCTAGGGGTTGTTTCTGGAGAGTCAGAGTCAGGGCCCTGTGCAGCATGGCAACTGAAGGCCCTTGGCAGCCAGGGGACTTCCACATATGTACAGTAAACACCAAGCTAGTGGTAACTGATGGGCTGTGGAAATAGCACCTAAATGGACATTTGGATCTTTTAATAGAGGTATAGTTCCTGGTAGAGTATATCTCATGAAACAGGGGCAGGCTTAAGAATGGGATGAACAGAAAGTCTTCAGAGGAGAGTTATAAAGTAAGGGACTTAGGGATTCTCCTTGGCCCATTGTATAAATACTCAAGCTTTTACCTGCCAGTGCCACCTCTGCTTGCCAAAGCCTGCAGTACTGCTTCAGCCAGCTCTTCTTGCTGTTCCTTCCCCAGGGAGTGGCCTGGAGGCCCAGCTAATTCTAAAGAGAGCTGGAATAGTGGATCTGGGGTTGAAAGACTCATAGGTAGGGAAGGAACAGCCTTGATATCTTCGTTAGTGTTACACAACCGACCCCGGGGACAGAAGAGAAGACCATAGTACCCAGGTATCTGCAAAGAAATATGTAGCAGGATATAGTTTTGCCTTGATTATCTGCTCAAGTCTTCCTTCTAAGGAAAATGTATATTATAGATCAGTGGGTACTTAGGAGAAACATCAAAACAGGTTGGACAATACCACCATACAAGTATTTCCCAACTTCTTTTTGCCAGTATGCCACAACTATTCCTTTTATGGTACCCACCTGAATAACCTTTCCTGGAAGGCATGGGACCCAAGGTGAGCCCTCCGCCTGCACCTTGTAAGCTCCCCTCCCTGTGCATTGATGTAAGTAGCAGCGTCCAGTGAGCTCTGCTTCCTTGAGGTGTGGAATAAGAGAAGGATGCCTGGTCTTATTCCCAGGGAGCAGCTGTGAAGTGAGGTTGGCAAAGAAGCAGCGGCTCTGGGGATGGTAGATCTCCCCATGGGGATTCTCCACCCCAGCAGGGAATCCATTTTCCTTCTTCCAGCATTCACTCTGAAGGGCAGGTCAGAAGGTAAAACAGTGTTTGTTCTGATGCCTTTGAAGTTGACTGCCTTCCAGACCCACTCATTTCCATTGTCTGCTCTCTTGTCTACTCACCCCATTGGCTAAGGGCTTGTACATGCGGCAGCCTTCCATCATGGGGTCTGAGGAGCAGCTTCCCTTGTCCAGGTGCAGGTAGTGGCAGCCCAGTCCACTGTGTGGAAGGGGATGATATAGTGACACTAGGATCACTGACAGCCATACAGTCCCCTAACCACTCAGCACGCACACCTGCCAGTACAGAAGAAGTCTGAGGAGCCAGTCCTACATGTGGTCACCAATCCAAATTCCAGGCCAGATCCTGCTTGAGAGATGAGAGAGGAAGGAGAGAAAGCCCTCAACATCTTTTAGCATCAGCTATGCTCTTAGCTTCAATTATACCTCAGCAGCAGACACCCCTTCAGCCCTCCCACTTCTCCCAGAGCTGACTTGGGTCATGAGTGCCCCTCTACATGTTTCCCTTACTTCTCACCCTGGCCCCACAACAGCTCCTCTGCAGCGGTGTGGTTGACCTGGTACCAGCCTGAGTCTTCGAAGGCAGCAAGGGTGATTGGGTCGAGTCGAGTGCGCTGAGCTCCATCAAAGGTAGCAGTCATTAAAGAACCCTGGAGTAGTCTGGCCTCCCAGTGTGAGGACAAAGGGCCCTCCTGGACAAGGTGGCAGATAGCTGGTTGTTATCTGGCTACTCCTTTCTTCTGTCACCCCAAGGTGTTCTTATTCTCACCTCTTCTTCCAAGGGAACACCCAGTGAAGCCCCCGGCACTCCCAGGTGTTTGGCCAAGCTGAGGCTAGCAGCTGGGGTGGTGAGAAGCAGTTGTCCCCATTCATCTTGCCTTGTCACTTGTTGCCTTGTAGAACAGTTCTCTCTAACTGAGTGCAGAAAGGGAAGAAGGCAATATGAGGAGAAGAAAACGAGGAAGGGTGAAGCAAAATTGGAAGGAAGGAGGTTATAGGTTAGTGAATTCCCTCTGGTTGATTGTGGGAAGTCCTCAACCTCATTCCTCTCATTTACCACTGAATCCTGAGGGGCAGTCTCGCCATTTCTTGAAGAGCTGTCCAGAGAAACCCAGGGCATGGAGCAATTCGTGTATTGTGACCTAAGGACAAATGACTACCCAGTAAGGGGGCCACATTTGCAGCAGGATTGACCAAACACTCTATAACCCCTCTGCCCAATCAGCTCTTCCAAGAGCTTGAGGCACCTTCTATTCCGTACTCTGTGGGTTCTTCCACTTTATGAGAAGCTGAGTAACCTGGCCCCCCTATCCCACAACCTGTTTGCTTCTCCTAGTCATCATGCAGCAGTCACCATGACGATGTCACTGTGGCTGAGGCTGGGGCTGGTGAGATGTTGGGCACAGTAGACAATGGTGCCAGCGAGGGGCCTGTCTTCTGAGTCCAGGTGACAGCAGGCAGCATAGGCTATGACAGAGGGCTGTGGATGGGCCAGGATAGGGTAGGGGCAGAAAGGAGAAAAGCAGGGTAACACTGATAGAAGATATCCCCTGAAAATGGAGGATCAGGGGACTCTGCAGAACTCTGCAGAAGTGGTATCAAGGGATGGCTGTGGGTGGGGGTAGCCTTTACCCATACATTACTAGCATTCCCTAATTTATCCAAAATAAGCACAACTTTTTTGTTTTTGAGATGGTGTCTCACTCTTTTGTCCAGGCTGGAGTGCAGTGGTGCAATATCGACTTGCTGCAACCTCCACCTCCCAGGTTCAAGCGATTCTCCTGCCTCAGCCTCCTGAGTAGCTGGGACTACAGGTGCACGCCACCACACCTGGCTACTTTTTGTATTTTTAGTAGACACAAGGTTTCACCATGTTGGCCAGGATGGTCTCAATCTTCTGACCTCGTGATCTACCTGCCTCAGCCTCCCAAAGTGCTTGGATTACAGGCATGAGCCACTGCACCTGGCTGCCAGCATAGCTTAATAAAAACTGCTTTGGCCAGAAATGGTGGTTCACGCTTACAATCCTGGCACTTTGGGAAGTCCAGGTGGGCAGACTGCTTGAGCCCAAGAGTTTGAGACACAGCCTGAGCAACATGGCAAAACCTGTCTCTACACAAAATAAAAAATAAAAAAAAATTAGGTGGACATGGTGGTGCACACCTGTAATCCTAGCTACTTGGGAGGCTGAAACGGGAGGATCACCTGAGCCCAGGAAGTCGAGGCTGCGGTGAGCTGTGATCGGGCTGCTGTACTCCAGCCTGGGCAACAGTCTCAAAACAAAATAAAAATAAAACAAAACAGAAAAACTGCTTTTATGTTCCCTAACCCTACTCATGAGATTTAAGATTAGAGAGGCAGAACAGGGAAAGGAGATTTGATTTGAACCTCACCTCTTGGTGGCACTTGGAAGTGTGAGCAACCCGTACATACAGTAGAAAATCAGTGTTTTGGACCCCAGGTCCATCTGGCTGGACCAGTTGTGGGGGACCCTGCTCTGGCCACAAGGCATAACCGTGAAGGTGGGCGTCAGGAATCTGGCAGGGAGTAAAATGTTGCATTAGCAAATGGGCTGGGACAGTAAGAAATTGGGTATGAGGAATAGGGGAGACTGAGTCTCTTTGGTCTGTTTTAGTGTTATCTAGGCAGCTGGTTAGAATACAGAGTTCTGCCCCTTCACCCGCAGTCTCTGATTTACTGGATTTTAGCAGGGAGAGGAGCTTAGGAATATATGTATATGTATATGTGTCCATATATATATATATATGTATATATATATATATTTTTTTTTTTAGATGGAGTCTTGCACTGTCACCTGGGCTGGAGTGCAATGGCATGATCTTGGCTCGCTTTAACCTCTGCCACTTGGGTTCAAGTGATTCTCCTGCCTCAGCCTCCCGAGTAGCTGGGACTACAGGTTCCCGCCACCAGGCCTGGCTAATTTTTGTGTTTTTATTAGAGATGGAGTTTCACCATATTGGCCAAGATGGTCTCGAACTCCTGACCTTGTGATCCGCCTGCCTCAGCCTCCCAAAGTGCAAGGATTGCAGGCGTGAGCCACTGCACCCAGCCATCTACATTGTTAAGAAGCACATTCAGTAACTCTGATGCTGGTGGTCTTGAAATGGTCATGGCAGGCTGCAGATCTCCAGATCCCTAAGACTGAGAGGTGAGCCTACTCAGGATCCTGTCTTCCCTCCCGTTCTTCCATGGCGTATTTATTTCTGGCTTTCCTCTCTGTACTATCTCTCTGCATATCCCCCCAACCCCCCTTATTTTTTCAAGATTTCAGTGTTGTTGACTCAATCTCACCTTTGTCCCCAGGCAACTCTCTCCTTTGTACCCTGGGTTCAAGAGGCTGCACCTACCAAGAATGAGTATCTGCAGGTGAGCTGAGGACATTTCTAGGTATCCCTGAAGAAGAATTACATACATTTTCAATGACATGAACTCACCTGTGGTAGTTTGGGGTATCTGGGTCTCCCCAGACAGCATGGCAGTACCGTGCAGCATCTCGACTCAGAAGCAGGGGTCCTTGCACTGGACGGACTTGACAAAAGGTCAGTTTCCCCTCCGTATCTTAGAATTCCAGTTCTTTTTCTGGGTTGACCTTCCTCCCCTGGACCTCCCTGCTCCTCAACCCTCCCTGATATTGCCTGTTCCCTCACTCACCTGCTAGGACAGCCTGGATTCGCTGAGTGGCCTCTCTCACTGCGGCCAGGGCTCGGGATCCCCCTCTTGTCTCTTCTCCCTCAGGATCCCAAGCTCCATCTGATATAGGATTTCCCAGATAGCAGGTTTGGATTCGTAGGGGTTGAGGATCATGGGAGCTAGGAAGGGTGAGGGAGGAAGAGAGAGATTTCAGGGGGAGTGGGGAGAAAGGGAGCCTGAGAAGTCTCACAGACTTCTGTGCCTCATCATGTAGACATCGGCTTGTGGCAACCCTGAGGAGTAGTGGTGGCAGCAGCAGCAGCAGCATCTCCCTTCCGTGTCTCTCCATAGATACAGTCTGGAGCCTGTCTTCTGTCCCCTTTTTTACTGGCTCACTATTTCTGGCTTTCCTATCTTTACTCTTTTTCACCGCGTGCCCCCCACCACTCTTGCTTATTTTTTTAAGATTTGAATGTTGTTGACTCAGTCTACAGTTCCCTGCCAGGAGGTCGGACATGAACCACGAGGGCCAAAGCCACCCTCTTCCAGGGGGGCCAGAGGTGGAGTGCTGGGGGAGGGGAAATGTTATTCTGAGGCCTCAGCTGACCTTTCCAAAGCGGAGCCTGCCTTAGCCATGATGGAACCCTTTCCTTGTTTTTTGTTTTGTAGAGATGGAGTCTCGCTATGTTGTCCAGGCTGGTCTCAAACTCCTAGCCTCAAGTGATCCTCCTGCTTCGGCCTCCCAAAGTGCTGAGATTACAGGTGCAAGCCACTGTGCCTGGCTGGGAACTCTTTCCTAGTCCCCCTCCATTCTTCATCCTATTTCTCTTGCCTTTCTGAGTAGAAAACCTCAGAACCTTCACAGAAGTAGAAAGAAAATTGGTGTCGCCACAATAGGGAAAGCAGGTGATGGTATTTTTGCTTTACTGTTGCCTGCTGGCCTCACTGGACATGAGCAAACAAGGCTTCTGCACTTCACTAGCACTGGTTTCAGAACTGGGTGGCCTCTAACTAAAGCACAAGACTTCTAGGCATCTCTTACATCTATGTAGGGCTCTTAGTGGGTGCTCAACAAATACATGTTACTGAATGACACCTCCTATGAGAGGCTGTTGTGTTAGGTCTGTTAGACTTCACAGAAGCTGCTTATAGGTATGCAGAGGAAGGAAAAGAAACTTTTTTTTTTTGAAACTGAATTTTACTCTTGTCATCCAGGCTGGAATGCAATGGTACAATATTGACTCACTGCAAACTCTGCCTCCCGGGTTCAAGCAGTTCTCCTACCTAAGCCTCCCAAGTAGCTGGGATTACAGGTGCATGCCACCACGTCTAGCTAATTTTTGTATTTTTAGTAGAGACAAGGTTTCACCATGTTGGCCAGGCTGGTCTCGAACTCCTGACCTCAGGTGATCCTCCTGCCTTGGCCTTCCAAAGTGCTGGGATTACAGACTTGAGTAACCGTGCTGGCCAAGAAACTCTTAAAATGGACATTAATAGATGTTCAAAGATGTTCTTAGGAACTCCCTTTGTTTTCTTTGCTCATGCTGTGCTTTCACATCCTGTTTCCTTTGCTTGGATACCCCTCCTCCCCTGCCTGCCTGGCTAATTCCTACCTTTCTGGTAATTACCCTTGGAAGCCTTTCTTAATATCCCCAGCCGAAATTCCACACCTGCTGCAGTGGGTGGGGAACCACCTCACAGGAGGGGCCTCTCCTCCCAGCTCCTAACAGAACACTGTCATCCTCTGTTGCAGTTGTTGGCTTAGCAACTCTCCCTCCACATCCTAAAGTCCTTGCAGGTAAGCCTGCTTCCTGTCTGTCTTTGTGCCCACACCACTCAGTACAGCCCTAAAGACCTGGTCTTCAGTGTGTGGATGAAGACATAGGACCTAACTCCATTATTTAACTTTTGAAGAAACAGCTGTTTTAAGGCAGTATATTTTAATAGCTAATTGGTGACAGACATGGACTAGAGTTTAAAGTAGGGCTACTGACTTCCTAAGGAGGCTGGATTTTATACTTTTCACATGCCAGAACTGTGGTTGAAACTACTGATTACAAGGGAGAAACCTGTTGGGGCTCAGGAACCATAACCCAAAATATGGCATTGACATGCTGAACTGAAGAAGAAGACTCAAGGTCTCTCTGACCATCCCCTGTTGCCCCCATACACATAGACTCACACCCCTCGTCTCTCCCGAAGCACAGGCCCTACCTGCCTAAGATCCAGACCCAATGAGGAAAGTTCTTTTTTCTTTCCCTAAGACCAAGAATGTAACCACACCTGAACAAGCCTGTTCACTGTTAGAACTGTTTACAAGTTAATCTCTGTTCCCAGATCCATTAATTCTCCTGAGTAACCATTTATTGTCCCTCAACAGAATTCTTCTTTTTCACCCTGCCTCATAACCTGTTTTGCTAGGATCCAAGGCACCATTTTTTTCTGTAACTTCAAGATGATATATAAGCTTCTGTGCTTTATTTGGGGGTGGGCGGTTGGGTCTTCATTCTGAAGATTCTCATATATACATGCTAAGTAAATGTGTATGCTTTTTCTCATATTACTCAAACTGTCTCATGTATGATTTTTCAGTGACCCTCCAGGGGCCCAGGGCCTTGGCTTTCACACACCCAACCTCTGGAGGCAAACCCACCCTGCTACTTTTTTCTTTCTTTTTTTTTTTTTGAGACGGAGTCTCACTCTGTTGCCCAGGCTGGAGTACCGTGGCACAAACTCCGCTCACTGCAACCTCCGCCTCCCAGGTTCAAGCAATTTTCCTGCCTCAGACTCCTGAGTAGCTAGGACTACAGGTGTGAGCCCCCACGCCTGGATAATTTTTGTATTTTTAGTAGAGATGAGGTTTCACCATGTTGGTCAGGCTGGTCTCGAACTCCTGACCTCATGATCCACCCACCTCGGCCTCCCAAAGTGCGGGATTATAGGCATGTGCAACTGTGCTCAGCACATCTGCAACTTTTTATCTATAGAAATGTGTGTGTACAGGGCTGGGCGCGGTGGCTCAAGCCTGTAATCCCAGCACTTTGGGAGGCTGAGGCGGGTGGATCACAAGATCAAGAGATCGAGACCATCCTGGTCAACACAGTGAAACCACGTCTCTACTAAAAATACAAAAAATTAGCTGGGCATGGTGGCACGTGCTTGTAATCCCAGCTACTCAGGAGGCTGAGGCAGGAGAATTGCCTGAACCCAGGAGACGGAGGTTGCGGTGAGCCGAGATCGTGCCATTGCACTCCAGCCTGGGTAACATGAGTGAAACTCCGTCTCAAAAAAAAAAAAAAAAAAAAAAAAAAAAAGAAATGTGTGTGTACAGTACTTTGACCAAATGCCTCAGGTTTCCCATCTGTAAAATGAGGATGACTGTACTTTTGGGGTTGTTAATGAGAAGTAAGTGAATATTTGGAAAGCACTGAGAACAGTGTGTGGTTTATGGTATAATACTGAATCAAGTAAAAAGAAAAAAAATACATATTATACACAGTGGCTCATACCTGTAATCCCAGAACTTGGGAGGCTTAGGTGGAATGATTGTTTGAGTCCAGGAGTTTGAGGCCAGTCTGGCCAATATAGGGAGATGACCATCTCTTAAAAAAAAAAAAAAAAAAAAGAAGTCAGTTGTGATGGCTCATGCCTGTAATCCCAGCACTTTGGGAGGCCGAGATGGGTGTATCAGCTGAGATCAGGAGTTCAAGACCAACCTGACTAAAATGGTGAAACCCTGTCTCTACTAAAAAATATAAAAATTAGCTGGGCATGGTGGCAGGTGCCTGTAATCCCAGCTACTCAGGAGTCTGAGGCAGGAGAATCGCTTGAACCTGGGAGGCAGATGTTGCAGTGAGCCAAGATCACATCATTGCACTCCAGCCCGGGCGACAGAGTGAGACTCCATCTCAGGAAGAAAAAAAAAAAAAAAAAAAATAGAATACATATTATAACCGGCCGGGCGTGGTGGCTCATGCCAAGCACTTTGGAGGTAATCCTCCAAAGTAATCCAAGCACTTTGGAGGCCAAGGCAGGCGGATCATCTGAGGTCAGGAGTTCAAGACCAGCCTGACCAACATGGTGAAACCCCGTCTTTAAAAAAAAAAAAAAAAAAGAATACATATTATATACACTGTAAATTCAGAGGAGAACTGTTCTTTTATTATTTATTTACTTAAATTTATTATGTTATATTATATTATACTATTTTATTTTTTTGAGACATGATCTCACTCTGTCCTCAAGCGGGAGTGCAGTGGCTCAGTCACAGCTCACTGCAGCTACAACCTCTTGGGCTCAGGCAGTCCTCCCACCCGAGTCTCCCAAGTAGCTGGGACTGCAGGTGTACACCACGATGACCAGCTAATTTTTGTATTTTTTGTAGAGATGGGGTTTCGCCATGTTGCCCAGGCTGGTCTTGAACTCCTAGGCTCAAATGATCTGCCCCGCTTAGCCTCCCAAAGTGCTGGGATCACAGGTGTGAGCCACCATGCCTGACATATTTTAAAAACTTATTTATTTTTATTTTTATTTATTTTTGATATAGGGTCTTTCTTGGCTGGAGTTCAGTGGCATGATCATAGCTCGCTGCAGTCTCAAACTCCTGGGCTCAAGCCCTCCTCCCACCTCAGCCTCCTGCAGGTGTGCGCTGCCATGCCTGGCTAATTTTTAAATTTTTGACAGGGTCTTGCTGTGTTTCCCAAGCTGGTCTCGAACTCCTGGCCTGAAGTGATCTCCCCAAAGCACTGGGATTACAGGTGTGAGCCACCACAGCTGGCCTGTTCTTTTATTATTATCAAGTGTACAAATCTTTAGGGGACTCTTGATTTTTCCCTAAGGCAAACCTAGTCTTTTTCTCCAAGTGTCTGAAGTCTTTTTTTTGCCGGCGGGTGGGGGGGATGGTGTCTTACTCTGTCACCCCGGGTGGAGTGTAGTGGCACGATCTCGGCTCACTACAACGTCTGCCTCCCGGGTTCAAGTGATTCTCCTGCCTCAGCCTCCTGAGTAGCTGGGATTACAGGTGCACTACAATGCCCGGCTACTTTTTGTATTTTTAGTAGAGAAAGGGTTTTACCATGCTGGCCAGGCTGGTCTCAAACTCCTGACCTCAGGTGATCCACCCGCCTAGGCTTCCCAAAGTGCTGGGATTACGGGCGTGAGCCACCGTGCTCAGCCTTTCCCCCAGATTTGTTTTATTTATTTTATTTTATTTTATTGTTTTAATGGTAGAAATGGGGTTTCTCCATGTTGGTCAGGTTGGTCTTGAACTCCTGACCTCAGGTGATCCACCCTCCTTGGCCTCCCAAAGTGCTGGGATTACAGATGTGAGCCACCGTGCCAGGCCTTCCCCCAGATTTCTTAGGTTTTTCTGGTCTGTCTGCAGCTCCTAATGCTCTGCTGCTCCCCTGTGGCCATACTGAGACAGGGTGTGCTCTGGCCACAGTATGGGCAGGGATCTTAACTTCATACATGCAGATGGAAGAACTTCATGAATTTTAATACATCCTTTCTGTCTTTTTTTAAAAAAATTAAATTTTTAAATTTTTG